AAGCGGCGATGCTCGGTGAGCTGACTATAGACGGTGTTGGAGAGGATCCTGCCGACGGGATCCGTCCCGGCCGGTGCCTCGATCACGGCGACGGCCGTCTCGTCGCAGCTCGTTTCGATGCCCATCACGCGCATGCGTGACTTCTAGAGTGTCGATGGCGGCGGCGCCAGATGGCGTCTTGCCCTCGGCCTAGAGGCTGAGATTGAAGGCGATGGAGATGCGTTCGGCCGTACCGCGATAGGGGCGGACCTGATGCAGCAACCATGACGGAAACAGGACCAACCGGCCGGCCTTCGGCACGAGCGACTCATTCACGCCGCCCGACAGGCCGCCCTGCATGGCGAAGCCGAGGTGCGGCGCGTACATCGTCGGCCCCGCCCCGCGCGGGATCCATGAATTCGAGCGCGCCGCCCAGCGACGGATCGGCGGCGATGCCGCCATCGTCGACATAATAGACGCCCGACCAGAAGGCGCCCGGATGGGTGTGCGGCAGGTTGCCATGGCCGCTGCGGTTGATGTTGGCCCACATGTTGGCGCGCCACGTCACGGCGAAATGGCCGGGATGCGGGCCGCTGCCCGCCGTCCCCGAGCGGTCCGTCGTCGCGCGATTGGCGGTGTTGCGACCGATCGCCAGGAGTTTCAGCGCCGGCACGCCGCCCCAGCGATCCATGTCCCACGTCGACTGCCAGCCGCCTTCGTTGGAGGCCTGCTTGCCGGGATGGGACTTCTCGCGCTCTTCGATGACCCGGCGCAGGTCCGCGTTGAGCGTCGCCGCATCCGGTACGTCGTAGACGACCAGCGGCGTGGCGAACAATGGAACGATCTCGAAATCTGCGCTCATGCGGAAAGGGCTTCCGATGATGCAGGCGCCAGCCGGCGACAGGGGGAATGCAAAGGTCTGATCATCTCGGATGAGCGCGTCTCGATGGCCGGAACGCATTCTCGCTCGAACCCATCCCGCCGACATCTGCCCTTCTTGCAGGGCTTGCTTCCGGGAACGCTTGCCTGGGTGGCGCCATCTCACGCCCTATCACGGAGTCTTGAATTTACAGCGCGGCACCGTCGCTTCTGGCGTGTCCCGGCAACCTAAGCTAGAGCAGCGGCCATGACGTCCCCCCTCCTAAGGCTCGGCACGCGCGGCAGCCCGCTCGCCCTCACCCAGACCGGCTTGGTGCGCGACGCGCTGGCCCGGGCCGTTCCGGCTCTTTCGCAGCCAGGCGCGATCGAGA